ACTCCTCAGCACTGGCCAAGGAATGGGGGAAGAGTCTGACGAAAGTTAACTTACTTGGGCTAGCAAGATGGCCCAGGGAGTAAAGAGGCTTTGCCTTGCAAATCTGCTGACCTGAGTCAGATCCCTGGAGCTCGTGTAAAGGTGGAGAGAGCTGGTTTAAAGTTGCCTGCTATCATACATGTGCCATAGCATACACACACACACACACACACACACACACACACACACAATAGTCCTAGTTCCTGAAACTGTGAACTATGGTCTTATTCTGGAGCAGGGACTTGGCAGATTCAACTGGTTCCTTGTGAGAACAACAAAAGTTGGGCACAGGGAAGAGGAAAGAGCTTTGTGGCAAATGGGTTATCCGGGAGTGCGCCCCGTGGGAGGTGGGTGTACTGACTCCAGGCCTCCACAGCCAGGCATGTCCAGCAGAGCAGAGCGTGCTCTGAGCCCCTGAAGAGACACCCTGCTGGCATACTGACCGTCAGACCTCTGGCCTCAGCAGCTGTGGGCTTTTGCTTAGCTGGTTGTATGTGCATGTTCCTGTGTGGGGGTGTATATATGTGGGTGTGGGGTGTGCATGGGTGTGTTTTTATGTGGAGATCTGAGGACCCTCAAGTGTCCTTCCCCAGGCACACTCCGTCTTTTCCTTTGTTTGAGGTAGGGTCTCTTTGACCTGGGATGTCACTAAGAAACGTATGGGCTAGCTGGCCAGGGACATCTCTGACACTTCCTGTATCTCCCATCCCGTTGTCAGGGAGATGACAGCATGAATTTTCATAGGGGTTCTGGGAACCTGAACTCGGGTTCTTGGCACTCGTGAGGCAATCAACTTAATTACTGAGCTCTCTCTGTCTGTGTCTGTCTGTCTGTCTGTCTGTCTGTCTGTCTGTCTGTCTCTCTCTGTGGGTTTGGGTGTCTTCAACTTGCTCTTTTGAGACAGTGTTTACATTGTACCCAGGCTCCCTGGAACATCCCATGTAGTCCAGGCTGGCCTGACACATTTAGAGTTCAGCAAGCCTTTTGTCTCAGCCCCTTGAGCACTGACGTTACTTGAGCATCCACACCCAGCTTCAGGGTGATATTTCAAAAATAGTTTGCTGCTTTTAAAGCGCCCCCATTGCCTCCTGGCACCCAGAAGCAGACGTTTGGCCAAAGCAGAGGGTCTCAGTCCACGTTCAGACCTTTTCTTCTCTCACGGGGCTTCCTTGGTGTCTCAGAATGCTGGAAAAGCAGCTTGGGCTCTCATTTGATTCTTCCTCTCCTTCACCCCCCCCACTCCACTGTGACAGCAGCCCCCAAGTTCCTGCTCTGTGTTGGTAAGCATCCTGGGGTCAAGTTCTGAGACCCCAAAGTGTGGCAACTAATCCCAGGTTTCTCCTCCAGTTTCAGGAAGAGTGGGCTCTGCATTTCCAGGAGTTTTTGTTGGAGCTGTTTAAAGAGATGCTCTACTGTTGCCAAGGCTGGCCTGGAACTCACTGTGTAGCCCAGGCTAGCCTTGAACTCACAGCTGCCCTCCTGCCTCAGCCTACCAAACACTGGCAGCACAAGCAGAGCCGTTATGCCTGACTTTTGACTATGGTGGTCGTTATTTGCTCGGTTCTGATTTGCTGTTGTCAGATTAAACAGTCTTGCTATACGGCCTGGCCTTGAACTTGTGATCCAGTTTATTTATGGAGACTATTAACATGAGCACACTTGAGCTAGCACCACATGCCAGAAATAACTTCAGCCCATCCCCCAAGCCGCTGAAGTCGACATACATCAGGACCTTTTTATAACAGTGCACACACCATCCCCCACCGCCTTCCCCCACCGCCTTCCCCCTCAGAGCCGCAGACACCAGCAGGACCAGCCTGAGTTCACCCTCCTCCACATCCTCAAAGAGCTGGAGTTTGAGATAGACCCAGTTCCAATGTTAAATTCCCCCCAGACCCAGGGACCAGGCGCTCTGTGACTTGTGCTATCCCCACTCTGTGTCCACGCTCAGCCTAGTGCAGCTGCTAGCGGGGCAGGTGCAGGTGGGGGCAGGGCAAGGAGGTGAGATATGGTCATTTTCGCCGGTTCCACAGGGCCATTCTCTCCTGAAAGTCTCTTTTCTTTCTTTTCCAATTGCCTTCGGAGACTGTCCCTGTGTACCTTGATCCTCTGGCTTTGGCCTGCCGGATGCTGACATACATTGCTGCCTCAGGGTTTACCTAAAGTGGGGCTTCCTCGCCCTCTTCTTTGAGACATGGCTTTATTAGATAGCCCAGGCTGGCCTTGTACTCAAGGCAGTCCTGCCGTCTCGCCCTCTCAGATGCCAAGATAATAGGTGTAAGGAAGAGCTGGAGAGATGGCTCAGAGGATTAAGAGCACTGGCTGTTCTTCCAGGGATCCTGAGTTCAATTCCCAGCAACCACATGGTGGCTCAGAGCCATCTGTAATGAGATTTGATGCCTCTTCTGGCATCCAAGCATACATGCAGACAGAATGACAGTGTGTACATAATAAACAGATAAATAAAGATTTCTTTAAAATAAATAAAAGTATTTTAAAAAATAGGTGTATGGAGGGGGCTGGAGAGATGGCTCAGAGGTTAAGAGTACTGACTGCTCTTTCAGAGGACCCGGGTTCAATTCCCAGCACCCACATGGCAGTTCACAACTGTCTGAAGATCCAGTTGCAGGGGGTCTGACACCTTCACACCAATGAACATAAAATAAAGTTAAATAAACCATAAAAATATTAAAAAAAAATAAAAAATAGGTGTATGGAAATACACTGCCCCCGTCCAGCCAGGGTTTGTTGGGTTTGTTCTGCTGGGTTTGTGCTGACAGAAGCTCAGGCTAAGGAGAGGAAACTTGATGGCTTGACTCTTGGAAAGCATCTGCAGACAGTGTCAAGGGCCGAGGACAGCCATGACGGTTCTTTACTCCTACAGGGAGGGATGGTGAAATCCACTCTCAGGCCCCTGTCAGTCTGGTCCACTGCTGGGCCTCAGGGAAGACCTACAGCTCTGACTGGCTGGAAGACAGGGCCAGCTGAGGCAAAGAGAAGTAGTGTGGACTTAATGATCTAAACTCTTGACTCAGCTTGAAGCGAAGCCGTGAGTGAAGCCAGATAGAGGAAGAGGAAGGATGGGGTCTGGTCGCAGGGGAAGTGCCTGGGCAATCCTAGGATAGAGGGAGGAAGATGGGCATGGCGCGCGGGGGGGGGGTTCAGCCCTCACCCCAGCCACACAGCTCTAGCTGGAGATATGTTTATCATTTTAAATTTAGTTATTGAAAAGATGCTGGAGGCACCTAAATTGCATTTAGGAAAAAAAAAGTCCAAAATATCTTAAATGGAAGGGATGTTTCACATAGGCAATTTCAAGTCAGTACCACCAAAGCCTTTCGGTGCCAGGGCAGGATCTGGTGCATACTGGATTCTTAGTAGGAGAGGTACCTCAAACTGAAGACTCTGTCTCCAGGAAGAAAGGTGGGTGGAAGGGTATGGGTGGGAGAAGGAACTGGAAGGGCCGGGGCAGTGAAGGAAGGAGAAAGAACTGAGGATAGCGTGCATGCAAGCACACGTACACACACGTATACACACACACATACACACACACACACACACACACACACACACACACACACACACACACGATGCAATTCTCCAAGAATCCTCAAGAGGGCGCCTGGCACTCTAGAAATGCGCAATTCTGCCACACACCCTCATAGCACTCCTAGCTGAGACCAGCACGGCTAAAGGACGGCAACAGAAACTACGTATAGCCCATATTCCTATGAATGCCCAGCCAGACCACTTCAGTCCAGGCACAGCTCAGAGCACTCAAGGGGTAGGAAAGCTCTTGTTCTTGAAGGCAGGGGTGACCCCAACCACATCTGGAAGCGGCAGAAGGGTAGTTAGGGCTTCTCACTGCCAAGAAACAGGGCTCTGGCATGGCTGAACCAGGACCCTCCACCCACGAAGCCCTCAGAAGAGGACATCTCTTCTGAGCCGCAGAACCCATCTCATACTGGGATTGAGACCCTAAATTTAAGCTTATACCTTAATTTTGAAGTTGCTTTTGGTAAGGCAGGACACACTTCCACTCCAAGAGTGCTCCAAGTTAACTTTTAGGTCCCAGACCTTGGCCCAGCAACCTCAATAGGCTGTATTTGGCCTTTCATCCCAATACACCAATTAAAGGGTGAACTTGGGGAAGAGAGAGAGAGATTTAATCAGTGAATACACTGAGAAAGGGAGCAGACAAAGCGATTCGGTGTTCCCCACACTCAGCTTCACAAACTGATTGAGTTTTGGGTTAAAGTAGGAGAATTGGGGCATGAGCAAGACATGTGCACGGCTAGGGTTTCCTGGCCAAGGTGGCCTAGCTGACCAGTTTCTGATGTGTTTGTTTGTTTTGACTTCAGTGTTTTTTGAGACAGGGTCTCTCTGTGTCTGGCTGTCCTGAAACCGCACTGTAGACCAGGCTGGTCTCGAACTCACAGAGAACCACCTGCCTCTGCCTCCGGGGTGCCACCACCACCCAGCTTCTGCTGTGTTTTTACAACCTGGTGAGGTCCTCACTGCCTGAGGGGACAACCTGATCTTCCAGAGCTAATTACTCCGAGTCCAGGTGCAGTGTCCCTGGGATGTATATAATTGCTCTTCCTGGGGACCTCATAGGGTGGTAGTCTGTCCTTCAGGGCTCTACTGTTCCCAGAATCCAAGCTGCACTGCAGGTTTGGGAGGTGGTTGGAGACTTTTTGGCGCCTTTTGGGGTCTGGAACTAGAGAGTGTAAGATGCCTGGCCATCCTTATCTTTGTGCCTACAGCCTTAAGGAAGAATGGGGTTAGGTGCCATCTGTTTCTAGGGGACAGTTCCTGAGAGATAAAGAGGTCCCGAGGTGACCAGGTGAGCCTGAGTAAAGGTGAGGAGGAGACTCCAGGCTCCCACCCTTCCCCTAGCTGTCTGTGGGCCCAAAGGAAGAGTCAGGTTCTTCTTCTTTTTTTTTTTTTCTTCAAAGGTGTTTTGAAGGTATTTGTACAAGGAGATAGAAAATTCCAGATGGCAAATATGGTAGTTGAAGCCGGACAGAAGTGGACCCCCGCACCACAGTCCTTCAGCCATCATACTCTGAGTTGGATATAACTGGAGTCTGTGAGCCAGGTGTGTGCAAGTGTGCAAACGCGGGGTGGAGACTCCCTCTCTGGTGTGCAAGTGTGCAAGTGCTGGGTGGAGACTCCCCCTCTGGGAGCAGCCACTGCTTTGCCCTCTGTGGCAGCCTGGTGTATGGATGGAGGATCAGAGGCTCAGCAGGGGGACCGCATCTCTCTGATTATGGTCTTTGTCTCTGGTGCAATGCCTGTGTATGCAGCATTGACCCCCAAGTCCCCTGAGGTTATCGGTCTCTGAACCTACAGGGATGCCCAGATGTAGAATGGAATCCATGTGCATTAGCTCAGTTACCTGCTGGAAGGGACACTTCCTGGGACCTGAGGAAGGGCATCACAGGTCTGGGCTAGGACCAAGGAAGAGCTGCTCCAGTAGGCCTGAGCAGGGGCACCCCAATCCCACGGGGATTGCCTCCAACCCTCAGAGGGACTGGGGACTGGGGACTGACAACGGCCATCTGGCAGAATGCATGCGTCTCTCTCCTGAGGAAGCTTGTCATGTGGGAAGTTGAATTCTTTCCCCCTCCCCTCTCTTTTCTTCTTCTTCTTCTTCTTCTTCTTCTTCTTCTTCTTCTTCTTCTTCTTCTTCTTCTTCTTCTTCTTCTTCTTCTTCTTCTT